GGTGAACAAGAAAGTTGGTGACCTGTTGATGATAGAAAAGCCAACGACCAAAGTCCTAGCGAACCACTTTCCTTAGTTTGGCACTTAAATTTAAGATGCCTACCAGTGCTCACTTCTCAGTATCTGTCATTGCCATGAAGCCAGCCAAAGCCTCAGTGAACCACTTTCCTAAGCTTGGCCACATGATTATTCTCAAAGTGCTTATCGAAAGTTAAAATATATTAATTTTATGTAAAATTAAATTTTTTTTTTTGCTCGAAATTGAAAGGTGCCTCCAGCACAAGGCTGCACAAAGTGGCTTCTTTCCCGAGCTCCTCCTTGACAGCAAAGCAGGTGGCTGGTAGAGGGTTCTCCGTCGCCTTCCGGTGGAGCTTTTTTTTCTCTCATTCTTCCGATCATGGCTCATCACTATTGTAAAAGTACTTCTTTTGAAGCTGATTATTGTGTAAAGTTGTAATTATTGCTTGAAATTCAGGTAAAAGCTGGTTTACATTTATTTTTAAATTGTCTTCAAATTTTTTTTTTTTCGAGGGACATTTTTTTGGGGATGGATATTTTCTGTCACAAACTGTCGCCAGTTATAATTTATTTTGAAAAAGAAACTAATTTGTTATGGTTAACCAAGGAAAAATTAGAAATTTTCTGCATGTACAAGAATTTTTTTACCAGAAATTATACAGATACTTACATGGAGGTGGGCCTCATGTGAGTTAAATATTGTTAAAAAAATAGGGGGGCCCACCCCCATGTGTGTATTCTGTATGATTTTTGGTTTTTTTTTTTCCGTACATATAGTGTTTCTCAAAAAATTATATTGCTATAATCTCTGACAAATCCAGGATGAGAGGTGAGCATGGGTGGTCGTTGAGCAGCCACGCCATATAAAGGGAAAAAGTGTTTTGGCGAATTCAGCATGGACGGTCGTCTGTGCTCGTCGAGTGTTGGATCCGTCAGTGACTATAATATGTTGTCGATAACTTTTTTCTTGTAATGTATTCTCCATAACAAGAAAAGATCTTAACAAGTTTGGATGAAGCTTGGAAATATTCATCATACATATTTACATGTGGGTATATATTAAAAATACACATATAATAAATAGACTTAGTATTCCTTAAATTCAGAAAAAATTTAAAACTAGTAGGCTTGCAGGCATAGTCGTGAAAACGAGTTGTGCATTGCTCAAACTTAAGTAATGCTAATAGGAGAGTTGAATGTTGAATCATTTTGCTTGTCCACCTTCCAACTTGATTTGGCACACCTAGCAAGCCAGTTTATATTCGTGAATGGGGCAAGGGAGCACAACCTGACTCGCTTCACAAAACCTCGACTCGATTTGCCCCCACCAACTCGTCACTTGGTGGGGTGAGTCGAATCGAGCCGACTAACGAGTCAATCGCGACTCTTATTTTATTTTATTTTTTGTAAAAATTAAAAATTTCATTTTCACTCCAAGTATAATGAAAACTTGAATTTATAAGATTTGATGAATGTAGAAAAAAAAATTTGTCAAAAAAATTATAAAATTGTAAAAATCTTCACCATCTATCTGGGCTTAGGACCGGTTACAATACGTAGATGAAATTAATATTTTACACCAATAAATATTTCACCTACAAATTTTTTTTAAAAAAAAAAACAAAGAAAAACAAATGAAATTTCACCTTACAAATAATAAATCTAAAAATTAGTAAAACAAAAAAAATTCTTAAAGATTACAATTGCTGAAATTCTTTAGCAATTGTACTAGTCTATTGTCTTGTACATTAGAACCTCAAATATAGCTTCTTTCATCCAACAAAACTTAGCACATACACTAATGCAACTTTCGATTCTACAATTGAAACCTAATGCAGGAGAAAATCACGTCATAAAAAAAAATATCAAATGTCGTTTTCATTTGTTCAC